AAAAAAAAAAAAAAGAAAAGAAAAAAGAAAAGAAAAAAAGAAATCAAAAGACAACTTCAAGATATACTAAAATATTTTGCTAAATTGTAGCAGAATGAAATGTCTTCTGGCTGGGCACCGTGGCTCACACCTGTAATCCCAGCACTTTGGGAGGCTGAGGCAGGTGGATCAACTGAGGACAGAAGATGGAGACCAGCCTGGCCAACATGGTGAAACCCCGAGTCTACTAAAAAGGCAAAAATTAGCTGGATGCAGTGGCATGCATGCGCCTATAATTCTGGCTGTTCAGGAGGCTGAGGCTGGAGAATTGCTTGAACGCAGGAGGCTGAGGTTGCAGTGAGCCGAGATCACATCACTGCACTCCAGCCTGAGCAACAGTGAGACTCACTCTCAAAAAGAAAAAGAAAAGAAAAGATATAAATAAAATGTCTTCAGAGCATATCTGTCTATAGTCGCTTGACATCAAGGTAAGACATTTGTTCAGGCACACTATGTTTAGTCAGTGTTGAAAATCATAAACAGCCCACAAATATAAAAAAAGTATTTGCGGCCGGGTGTAGTGGCTCACGTCTGTAATCCAAGCACTTTGGAGGGCAAGGCGGGTGGATCACCTGAGGTCGGGAGTTCAAGACCAGCCTGACCAACATGGTGAAACCCTGTCTTTATTTAAAAAAAAAAAAAAAGTATTTTCATTTTTATTTATTTAGACAGTCTCATTCTGTCATGCAGGCTGGAGTGCAGTGGCACGGCTCGCTGCGACCTCAGCCTCCCAGGTTCAAATGATTCTCCTGTCTCAGCCTTCAGAGTAGCTGGGATTGCAGGTGCCCACCACCACACCCAGCTTATGTTTGTATTTTCACTAGAGATGGAGTTTTACCATGTTGGTCAGGCTGGTCTTGAACACCTGAACTCAGTGTAAGGATAGCCGAGAGAAATGAGAATAGACCCAAAGTCAGGTAAAAAAAGTTTTATTTACCTGCCAGGCTGCTCAGTAACAGTCAGAGGAGGCATCCCTGAGCTTACGAGGGGTTTGTGGATGAGAGGGGCTTAATCTATTTACTGGTAACAGGCACAGAGATAGTCTGTTAACTTGTAACAGACCTACAATATATCATCCTGTGACTTTTGTAATGGCGGTCTTTAAAAAAAACACAGAGGTAGCTCCTTCCTTTTACCTCGTTGCCTTTCTGAGAGCAAGATGGGTCACCAGCAGCTGTACTGGAGCCACCCGCAAAAATTTGGCCAGGGTTCTCACTCTTGTCGAGTCTGTTCAAACCGGCAATATGGTCTCAATATGTTCCGCCAGTGTTTCCGTCAGTACGCAAAGGATATAGGTTTCATTAAGTTGGACTAAAGGATCTTCAAAGGATTATCTAAGACATCTACCATGAAAAACCATGACAGTTCTTTGTACATAAAATAAACATTTTTAAAAACCAAAAAAAAAAAAAAAAAAAAAAAGACAGAAACCAGGATTTTTTACAGATATATGTCAAACAGGAATTTACAAGTATGGATAACCAACATATGTTTTCCCTGTTCTCCCTTGAGCTGCCCAGATGGCTGTAATCAGGCTTTGCATAATTGCCACACATCTGGCAGCCTTGGTGTGGTTCCTAGGTAGGGGTTCAGGAGTGCAGTTGCAGAGCAATCAGAGGGGTGAAGGGGTCAGCCTTCACAGCTTGTCCCTACCACTCAGGTGATCTGACCACCTCAGCCTCCCAAATTGCTAGGATTACAGGCATGAGTCACCATGCCTGGCTGTCAAAAAGTTTTTATTTATTTATTTTTTTTTTTGAGACAGAGTCTTACTCTGTCACCCAGGCTGGAGTGCAGTGGTGTGATCTCGGCTCACTGCAACCTCTGCCTTTTGGGTTCAAGTGATTCTCCTGCCTTAGCCTCCCAAGTAGCTGGGACTAAAGGTGCCCACCACCATGCCTGGCTAATTTTTTGTATTTTTAATAGAGACAGGCTTTCACCATGTTAGCCAGGATGGCCTTGATCTTCTGAACTCGTTATCTGCCCGCCTCGGCCTCCCAAAGTGCTGGGATTACAGGGGTGAGCCATCATGCCTGGTCCAAAAAGTATTTTTAACCCTTTGACATATTTGACAGACTTCCCGATATCAAATTTCAGCTTAAAAATTGTCTTCTTTTGTTGCATGATGTGGTTTACACCTGTAATCCCAGAACTTTGGGAGGCTGAGGCAGGCAGATCACAAGGTGAGAAGTTCAAGACCAGCCTGGCCAACATAGTGAAAACCCATCTCTACTAAAACTACAAAAAATTAGCGAGGTGTGGAGGCAGACACCTGCAGTCCCAGCTACTCAGGAGGATGAGGCAGGAGAATCACTTGAATCCAGGCAGTGAACAGTGTTTGTAGTGAGCTGAGACTGTTCAACCGCACTCCAGCATGTGCAAAACAGGGAGAGTCTATATCAAAAAAAAAAAAAAAAAAAGGCCGGGCACAGTGGTTCATACCTGTAATCCCAGCACTTTGGGAAGTCAAGTTGGGCAGATTATTTAAGGTCAGGAGTTTAAAACCAGCCTGGCCAACATGTGAAACCTTGTCACTACTAAAAATACAAAAATCAGCTGGGGTTGGTGATGGGCGCCTGTACTCCCAGCTACTTGGGAGGCTGAGGAAGGAGAATCGCTTGAGCTCAGGAGGTGGAGGCTGCAGTGCGCTAAAATTGCACCACTGCACCCCCTGCCTGGGAGACAGAGTGAGAGTCTGTTTCAAAAAAAATAAGTTGTCTTTTGTTTTTGACCCCTAAGTTTTGGATGCCACAGAGGGACAATGTGGCATCTAAATGTATAAGAAATAAATGTATTTGATATGTTGAATTAGATGGGAAGCATTGTCAAATTAAAAATGATGTTTGGGTCAGGTGTGGTGACTCATGCCTATTATCATTGCAATTTGGGAGGCCAAAGCAGGCAGATCGCTTGCGGTAAGGAGTCCAAGACTAGCCTGACCAACGTGGCGAAACCCTGTATCTACCAGAAAAAAAAAATAAATAAATAACCAGGTGTGTTTGTGTGTGCCTGTAGTCCCAGCTACTTGGGAAGCTGAGGCAGGAGAATCACTTGAACCAGGGAGGCAAAGGTTGTAGTTAGCCGAGATTGTGCTGTTATAAGTAAAATTTTGATGCCACAAAGAAAATAGCACTCAAAGATATGTCCTCTCAGCAAGGCAGTTTATTTCTATAAGAGGGTGCAGTGCACAAGGACAGAGCAATGATAACTGCTACACATTTGGACAAGGTGGGACGGGGTACTTATGCCTGACAGGGGGTCGTCCCTGCTGCTGTGTCCTGTGTCGTCCCATATTGGCTAGGGTTAGACTGCACAAGCTAGACTAATCCCGATTGACTATTTTAAAAAGAGCAAGGGTCCAAGCTGGAGTGGCAGAGTGGGTGTTTTGGTGGGAAGAACGATTTAAGGGCGTGTCACATAAAGTAGCTAGGGGTTATCAGGTGAGTGGGATGAGTCAGGATGGAGTGGGGGGCTGGGGGAACAGGTGTGAACTGCTCATGAACCAGTGGAGAAGGTTGTTTACTGGAAGTTAAGCTTTAAAATAGAGATTTAAAGAATAAGAGAGCTGAACATACTGACATACTGTTTCTTTGAAGACAAACTTGGGGTTCACTATAGCACTGCCACTGCACTCAAACTTGGGCAACAGAGTTAGACTCCATCTCAAAAAAAAGTAAATAATAATACAATAAAATAATGTTGGACCTTCTTTTTTTTTTTTTAAAGATGGGGTTTCACCATGATGGCCAGGCTTGTCATGAACTCCTGACCTCAGGTGATCCACCCACCTCGGCCTCCCAAAGTGCTAGGATTACAGGCGTGAGCCACTGCACCCGGCACTGTTGGACCTTCATCTTTTTTTTTTTTTTTTTTTTGCGATGGAGTTTCACTCATGTTACCCAGGCTGGAGTGCAATGGCGCGATCTCGGCTCACCGCAACCTCCGCCTCCTGGGTTCAGGCAATTCTCCTGCCTCAGCCTCCTGAGTAGCTGGGATTATAGGCACGCACCACCATGCCCAGCTAATTTTTTGTATTTTTAGTAGAGACGGGGTTTCACCGTGTTGACCAGGATGGTCTCGATCTCTTGACCTCGTGATCCACTCACCTCGGCCTCCCAAAGTGCTGGGAATACAGGCTTGAGCCACTGCGCCCGGCCAAACCTTCTTAACTCATATTTACATAATATATTATTAATAGTTAAAAATTGTAAGTAATTTCAAACATCTAATATATCTAAGTGTATGTTAGTACTCATAATTATGGTTATTACAATAAATTATTGTAGACTGCTGATGTAATTATTTTTTTTTCCTTTTTCTTTTTTTTGAGACAGAGTCTCATTCTGTTGCTTAGACTGGAGTGCAATGGCGGGATCTCCGCTCACTGCAACCTTGGCCTCCAGGGTTCAAGCAATCCTCTTGCCGCAGCCTCCTGAGTAGCTAGGATTACAGGAATGTGCCACCACGCTAGGCACATTTTGTATTTTAGTAGAGACTGGGTTTCACCGTGGCCAGGATGGTCTTAATCTCCTAACCTCATTATCTTGCCTGCCTCAGCCTCCCAAAGTGCTGGGATTACAGGCATGAGCCAGTGCGCCTCGTGTGTTTCTTGTTTTTAATGTTTGGCTAGTAGGAAATTTAAAATTTACATGTGGCTCACATTTTATTTTGAAGGATATGTCGTTTTAAGAATCTTAGGTTGGGCTGGCTCATGCTTGTAATCCCAGCACTGAGAGTCCAAGGCAGGCGGATCACGAGGTCAGAAGTTTGAGACCAGCCTATCCAATATGATGAAACTCCATTTCTACTAAAAAATAAAAAAAATAATTAGCCGGGCATGGTGGCGCACGCCTGTAGCCCCAGCCACTCAGGAGACTGAGGCAGGAAAGTCGCTTGAACGCAGGAGGTGGAAGTTGAGGTGAGCCGACATGGTGCCACTGCACTCCAGCCAGGGTGACAGAGTGAGCCTCCGTCTAAAAAAAAAAATTCAGGTTGGCCAGGTGTAGTGGCTCACGAATGTTATCCCAGGACTTTGGGAGGCGGAGGCAGGTGAATCACAAAGTCAGGAGTTCGAGACCAGCCTGGCCAAGCCAGTGAAACCCCATCTCTATTAAAAATACAAAAAGTAGCCGGGCCTGGTGGTGACCGCCTGTATTCCCAGCTACTCAGGAGGCTGAGGCAGAGAATTGCTTGAATCCAGGAGGCGGAGGTTGCAGTGAGCCACAATAGCACCACTGCACTCCACCCTGGGCGACAGAGACTCCGTCTCAAAAATTACATTAATAAAATGCAATAAAGTATCAAGTTATCAGGGTGTGGTGACTCACGTCTGTAATCCCAGCACTTTGGGAGGCCAAGGTGGGCGGATTACCTGAGGTCAGTGCAAACTTGCGCGCTCTGAATGAAGAGACCCCCAAACAGGCTTTGTGTGAGCAACATGGCTGTTTATTCTAAACACCTGGGTGCAGGTGGGCTGAGGTTGGAAATTAAGTCAGCAAAGGGCGGTGGGATAGGGGTTGGTTTTATAGCTTGTGGGGGAGGCAGTGGAAAATTACAAAAGTTAAGTTTAGGGTGGGTTTTCTGCAAGCTGGGAGGTGGTTGTAGGGTGTGGCCTCATGAGGTTGGCCAAGGTCTGTTACAAATTCTAATGGCCTTGTCAGTTGAGGCCTGAATAAAAAATAGAAGAATGTCTCAAGTTAGTTCAGAAGCTCATCTAGGGTGTAGGTGCAGGTCACAGAGATTACCATGCAGTTCACGGGGGCGAGGTCAGACCTTACAGTCAGGAGTTGGAGACCAGCCCGGGCAACATCATCAAACCCCATCTTTACTAAAATGCAAAAAAATTAGCTGGGCATGATGGTCCATTTCTGTAATCCCTGCTACTCCGCAGAAGAATAACTGGAACCCGGGAGGCAGAGGTTCCAGTAAGCCGAGGTCGCGCCATCCTACTACAACCTGGGCAACAGAGCAAGACTGTCGCAACAAAAAAACCCAAAAAACAAAACACAAAACAAAACAAAACAAAAATCTCAGGCTGCCTGCTCAATGGACCCCCTTGAAGCCAGCAAAATTATAAAAGCTGAAATTTAAAAATAATTGTTATTCTATTATTTTCATGTGTGAACAACCATATATTGTATTTACAAATACAGAAGAACTTATACACAAGGCTAAGGGCAAACACCCTCTGGGGTGGTCCTGGCTCAGCTCAGGGAGGAAGCCCTGCCTGAAAAGGCTGCACCTTTAGCTGTCACTCTTTCTTTTCTTTTCTTTTGTTTTTTTTGAAGCCAGTCAAATTTAGCAGTGGGGGGCTGTATTGTCACTCTTTCTTAATTCAGCCTTCATTTGGTCATGTCTTCTGTCACTCAGGACCCTAGGGGGCAGGGTCTTAAAGCTTATCCAATCAGCGACGCGTCCCTGGG